GAGGGAGGGAGGGAGGGAGGGAGGAAGGAAGGAAGAAAGAAAGAGAGAAAGAAAAAGGTGATAGTGGAACTTTGAAACTCAGTCTTCTGACTCTGGGGTTTTGCCAAGAATCAGTGGCTGCGAGGGACCAAAACCAGAGGCAGAGGTAGAAAAGTAAACATTAAGTAGGCAGGAACTCTATGCCGTGTAGTTTAGAGTCATACATCCTCACACGTCTGTTAGTGTGAAGAAGTGTGACAGTACTTCTCAAACTTTTATATCAATGTGTCCTCATGGCAGAAGGAAGCCTTTCTGTTAAATCTGGGAATTTATCAGAAAGAAGACAACCCAAGCCTCATTTCAGAGAGAAGTCTGGTATACTGTTAGAAACCTATGTGACTGTCATCCCTAAATACCTTAATGTTTTTTCTCTTGATTTCAGGAGAATCAACAGAAACTGATGCTTCAGAAAGATGTCCCACATTTATCCTGTGGCACTCAAAGTACCCCAGGTTCAGATAATATGAGGAAGATTCAAGCTGTCAAGTTCAGTTTCCCAAGATCTATTCCACAGAAGATGAGCAAATCTCACTTCAGAGACCACTGAATGAAGGGCAGTCTGGTCCCAGAACCATGGAGAATCAGAATATGAGGTGGAGAACTCAGAAAAAAAGTGTTGAAATCTCTCTGGAAAGTAGAAGCCTGGGAGAAAACCAAACCAAACACATTCCCCCTTTGCCACCCAGAGATAATGTCAATATTTTGAGCTCACGGGGGAAGTGTAGGCTTTCCCCACTGTCAATGTCTATATGAAGGGAGTAAGGCAGCCTGAAACCTCTTGCTCCTAGGTCCCATAGTCTCCATTCCCCTTCCAGCTGGAAATTTGTGCTGTGACCAGAGGAACCAGAAATGGGGTGACAGTGCTTAGGGGACTGTGTCATAAGATCAGTGGCTGGTCTTGCAGTAATGACAGTTCCTAGGCAGACTGTGACATCACTACATTCCACTCCTCCAGGTCGGGGGGAGGGACCACATCAGTGTGATGTCTGAGTCGCCACTCCACAATGGGGGAGGGAAACACAGGGTTGGGACCCAGGTCCTTGGAGACACCAGCACAAAGAGCCAAGGGAGGTCGACCTTGAGGCAGCAGGACTGGACAGTAAAGTCCGCAGCAGAGAGCCCCAAGAGTCACCAGCCCGAAGTCACCCAGGGACAACTGACAAGGGTGGGGCCTGCGGCTGGGGGGCTCAGGTCCTTGGAGACGCGAGCCCAAAGAGCCTAGGGAGGTCTAGCTTGGGGCAGCAGGAGGTGAGGGCCCCGTAACGGAGCAGGGAACCCCAGGAGTCACCTGCCCAAAGTCAACCTGGGGTGATTGGCAAGGGCAGGGACTGGGTTGCTTGCTGAAGGGGCAGGGCTGACTGACAAGACTTTGGTGGGGGGACCCCAGAGGCGCCTGTGTTGTGGGGCCCAGTCCGGTGTGTCTCAGGAGTGGTATGGACTCTGGCAGTGGTCTTGTCATCAGAGGGGATCTGTGGCTGGGTTGGGGGATCGTGACCTGGTGCGTTTTTACCTTTTCCTTTGCTGCGGCCAATTTGTTCAGTCAAGTTTCTTCTGCCATCGCGGGGTGGGGAGGGAGGTGGGGTTGGGGCCACGTCAGCGAAATCCCAGTGAGCACTGATCAACACCTCCAGTTGCCTACTGGGCAGCTGTGCGACTGAGCCAGAGAAGGCATAACCAGGGCTCCAGTAGAATGCAGAATGGGGGTGTGGCCTTAATGCTACAAGCCCATTGGTCAGTGAGAAAGATGAAGGGGAAAGGGGCGTGGCCAGGCAGTAGTATGTACAGAGAGACTTGTGGCATCACAAGGAAAGCTGCTCAGGCAACCGCTGTCCCCGCCCACTCTGAGAGAATGGAGGGGCGGCCCAGTCTGGGAGAGGGGAGGGGCCGGCTTTTGCTTTAAAAGCTTCAAAACTTTAAAAAATATATGTGTG